TCACAGTGGTGGAGGCCACAGTTCAGCTCAGGGTGGAGGCCATGTTGACTCCTTCAAGATGGCTGACGGTGAGCGATTCCCTTCCACACCTCACTCGGCAATCCTCAGTGTGCCTCAGCTTGCGTCTGCTTCCTTCTGCACATGGCCATCCTTTCTGTGTCCGTCTCTCCATTGAGCTGTTCTCCTCTTTTATAAGACACTATTTGGATGAGGTCAGAACCCACCTTAACTCCACTGTGACTTCCTACTAACTGATAGCATCTTCAAAGGATGCTGTTTTCAAACTGCCAGAGACCTGCTTTGGGGGCACAGGGAACTTTAGTAGAATGTGGCCAAATGCAAAGGCTGAGCAGGCTCTTTATATGCTGACAAGAAATACATTCTAAGATACATTATTAAACTGGAGTAAAATGTGGGGTAGTATGTATGTAGTGTTGTTGCTGTGTGCCGTCAAGTCAATTCTGACTCATAGCGACCCTGTATAGGGTTTCTGAGGTTATAAATCTTTGTACTGCATCTTTCTCCTGTGGGGTAGCTGGTGGGATGGAGCCACTGACCTTGTGGTATGTAGTGCAGTGCTTATCCTACAGAGTCACAGCATTCCCCATGTAATAGTATTTGTGTGAAATGGTGGGAGGAGCATCATATGTAATTGTTTACACACATGGAGAGGAGGAGGGGGCTCTGATGAGGAAAGAGGGAGTCTACAGCATTTCCCCTGGAATGTGTCCCTCTCTCCCACCCACTGCAGCTCCATTGGCTGCCAGCTCAATCAGGGCAGGACAAGCTGTGAAAACCAGCAGCTAGCTTGACTGGGAGGAAGGCATGGGGGTGTTGGGGGACATCCCATTTCTGGACATTGTGAGAAACCATGGTGACATCAGTGGTGAATGAATGGGGGAAACCCATCACAAGATGAAGGCTGTGATTGGGCCATGGCTGGGCCAATCAGCAAATTGAAAGGCTAGTCAGAAACTTCACAGAGAGGTCCAGAGAATGGTTAGTCATCGCAGAGTGAGCTACATCCTCCCATTTCCCGTGCAGTCAGGAAGACGATACACATACAACAGCACAAGGAACAAAAATGGAGGACTTGCTCTCTCAATTTCAAAACTTACTGTGGTGGTTGTGGTTAGGCATCACGGTGACCCTATGAACAACTGAAGGCAACACTGCCTAGCCCTGCACCATCCAGCCTTCCTATATTTGAGTCCACTGTTAGACACTGTGCCAATCCAGCTCATGGAGGGCTCCTCCTCTTTTGCTGACCAAGGGCTTTGCCTAGCGTAATGTCCTTCTCCAGCAGCTGGTCCCTCCTGATAATAACTGGTCCAAAGTACAGGAGATGCAGTCTCTCCATCATCACTTGTAAGGAGCATCCTGGCTCTACTTTGTCCAAGACGGATGTGTTCGTTTTCGTGGTGGTCTGTGGTGTGTTCAACATTCCTCTCCAACACCATCATTGAAATGCATCAATTCTTCTAGGGCCTTCCTTATTCATTGTCTAGCTTTCCCATGCATATGAGGCAACTGAAAATACCATGGCCTGAATGACACTCACCTTAGCCTAGTGTGGCGCTGTAGGAGAAGTACTGGAATCACAAGGTCTGCGGTTCAAACTCACCAGCCACTCCTCAAAAACCCTTTATAGAGTCGCTGTGAGTCAGAAGCGACTCAGTGGCACTTAGCAAGTCCTCAAAGTGACATCTGTGCTTTTTAACACCTTAACGATGTCTTTTGCAGCAGATTTGCCCAATGAAATATGTCATTTGGTATGTCTTTCTTGCCAAGATAAATGTATTAAAAGTATTCAAAGACCAACATCAGTATTAGCTGCCTTCAAAACAGTTTTCTGCACTCTTGATGGTCACTCATTCCATTTCACAAGGAACCTAACAATTCAAATATAGACTGTTTCGGTGTGAACTGAGACACTAGTACAATGATATGTAGCCATTAGAATGTTAGCACCCTTGCATACAGTAAACATTTTAATGTTACATGGTACTAAAAAATGAAAACTAAAACCACTCTGTGGTAACATGGACTGATTTCAGGAAAGACGTTCAGCCGGTTAGCTAAGGCCGCACAATCCCAGAACTTTTTATTTAAATACTTCTGGACTGTTAGCATTACAGTGTATCTTTCCGGTCACATCCCGGCTTTTTCAGCGTAAGAAAGACCACATCCGGACCAGGATTTCCTCCCTGTGCCTTCAGTGCACTGATGGGCAGCATCTTGATACAAGCTTCTCCTATGTACTTACTGGCTTTCTGAGTCACTATCCAACTTGGAATCCGTTATTATGAGTGATGCTTCCAGAACATTCCAGCTGAATTCAAGGTCAGTCTTAGGGTTACTTGACCGGTCACAGCCTTACATCATTTGATTTCTTGACTGCTGCTTCCATGGGAGTAACTGTGGATCCAAGTGCAATGAAATCTTTGGCAACTTCAGTCTTTTCTCCATTTGTCATGATGTTGTTTATTGGTCCAGTTGTGGGGATTTTCATTTTATTTGCATTGAGGTGTAATCCATACCAAGTCTTTGATGTTCACCAGTAAGGGCTTCAAGTTCCTCTTTGCTTTCAGCAAGTAAGGTTGTGTCATCTGTATATCACAGGTTGTTAATGAGTCTTCCTTCAATACTGATGCCACATTCTTCTTATAGTCCAGTTTCTCAGATTATTTGCTCAATATGCAGATTGAATAAATATGGTGAAAGGATCCAACCCAATGCATACCTTTCTTGATTTTAAACCATGAAGTACCCCCTTGTTCTGATACAGCAGTCATCTCTTGGTCTGTGTACATCTCTGCACACACACAATTTTATGTTCTGGAATTTCCATTCGTAGTAATATTGTCTGTTATTTGTTATGACCCACACAGTCAAATGCCTTAGCATAGTCAGTAAAACACAAGTAAATATCTTCTGTTATTCTCTAGTTTCAGTGAAGACCCAGCTCATATCAGTTCTGATAACCCTTGCCTCATGTCACATGTCTTTGCTTAGCATTAAAGGTAAACATCTTTCTGGTATTCTCTACTTTCAGCCAAGACCCATCTGACATCAGCAATTATATCCCTCATTCCATGTCCTCTTACACAATGCAGCTTGAATTTCTGGCGGTTCCCTGCCGATATACTGCTGGAATTGTTTTTTAAATCATCTTCAGCAAAATTTGATTTTCATGTGATATTAATGATGTTGTTAGAAATTTCCGCAAGATGTTGGATCATCTCTCTTTGGAAGGGACACAAATATGGATCTCTTCCAGTCAGTTGGTCTTCCAAATTTCTTGGCATGAGTGAGTGCATACTTCCAGTGTTGCATCTGTTTGTTGAAATATCTCAGTTGATAGTCCAGCAATTCCTGGAGCCCTGCTTCTCGCCAATGCTTTCAATGCAGCGAGGACCTCTTCCTTCGGTACCATCGGTTCTAGATCAGATGTTTCCTCCCCAAATAGTTGAACACCGACCAATTCTTTTTGGTATAACGACTCTGTGTGTTCTTTCCATCTGCTTTTGAAGTTTCCTGAGTCATTCAATATTTTGCCCATTGAAATCCTTCAGTATTTCAATATGAGGCTTGGATTTTAAATTCAGTTCTTTCAGCTTGAGATACGCCAAGCAAATTCTTCCCTTTTGGTTTTTTAACACTAGGTCTTTGCAGACTTCATCATGGTTCTTTACTTTGTCTTCTCAAGCCAACCTTTGAAATCTTCTGTTCCGCTCTCTTACGTCATCATTTCTTTCATTCTCTTTGGTTACTCTGTGTTCAAGAACAAATTTCACAGTGTTTTCTCACATCCATATTAGTCTGTTCTTGCTCACCTGTCTTATGGATGACTTGTTGCTTTCTTCAAGTATGATGCCTTGATGTTATCCTACAACTCATCAGACCCTTTGTCATTAGGGTTCAAGATATCAAATCTATTCTGTTGATGGTCTCTAAATTCAGGTGGGTAGATATGTTGACCTACTATGGTGGTTGTTGGTGGTTGGGTACCACCAAGTCAGTTCCAACTCACAGCAAACCTGCGTAGGGTTTTCTAGTCTGTAAATCTTTACAGAAGCAGAAAGCCTCATCTTTCTCCCTCAGAGCAGCTGATAGATTTGAACTGTTGACCTTGCGGTTAACAGCCTAACTCATAAATCACTAGGGTACCAGTGCTCCTCTGGTTTACTATAAAGGTACAGTAATCAAGACAGTTGTACTGGAATGTTGTTGTTGTTGTTGTTAAGTGCCATCGAGTTGGTTCAGACCCACTGTGACCCTGTATAAGGTTTCCAAGGAGTGGCTCCTGGTTTTGAACTGCTGACCTTGCAGTTAGCAGTCCAGTGATTATCCTTCAGCACCACGATCTAGGATAACAGCAGAGCCCCCTTCAGGAAGAAGGTGGAAATACACATGCAGCAGTCAGCTGTGTTCCCTTGGTAACTTCAGTAGCAGCAGCCAGTAAGCGACATCGTTACACAAGACCTATTAGCGTCGGTTTCTGACTCGTGGCAGCCCCAGAGAACAGAATAAACCTGTCCCATAGGGTTTCCAAGGAAGCAAACTGGCTGGTGGGTTCCAGCCACCGATCTTCCCATCAGTAGTGCTTAACCCAGTGTACCACCAGGACAGCTTATCGTCATTTCCAACACCACCCTGTGAATCTGGCCACCAGATGGCCCCTGTTTGGGTTGACAGGTGGTAGCAAAATCCAGGGAAAAGTCATAAAGGGTGGGTCCAATTCAGACAGACTGGGGCCAGTAAATCCCCTAGGTAACAGAAAATATCTTAATGGCCCTGGCCTAGACTCACACCGAGGCATGTTGGCAGAGAAAATGACATTTGCCAGTTGCTCCAGACTCAGCAGCTGGGAGAAGAGTCCCCTGACCTCGTTGGTCCATGGCCAAGGGACCACCGGGCCTCCCCCTGCTCCCCACAGGACAGTTTCTGTAGAAGGCCTTTCTCATCTTTCCATAACGCCCCCTCTCCTTCTTTCTCAGCTTGCGGACCCCTCGAGACGGAAAGGCCTTCCGGATCTTCGCGGTCCGGGAGTAGATCTCCAGCAAGCAGGGACATCCTCACATCCTCACAAGGGCTTCGGGGTTTTGCTTTTTATGTTGTCATTCGGGGGTGGGGAGGGTGGGGTTGGAGAGTTGGGAAGTGGTCCTCTCCTTGGTCTTCAGCGTGGGTGATGTCTCATCTCTTATGCCTGAAGGGAAACAGCATCCTTAGTGTGTGTGTTGGCTAGACAAGAGCGGATAGTTCTGCTGAGGTTGAAGACCACCCCTTAGCCTGGGTCTACAATCTCTTAAAGGAACCACCACCCAAGATGGTCCTGGCCAAGAGAGCCAGGGGTTTGGGGCTCTAAAGCATGATGTTTTCACAGGCGTGCAACGGGACACACTGAGGAACTCGAGGGAGAGTTTCAGGAATGTGGTTATTTAAAAAAAAAAAAAAAAAAAAATCCAATCCGTCCCTACCAATGGAGAAAAATGGGCTTTGTGTTTGCTGGTCAGACAAACGGCAGGAACAAGAGGGCTGGGGGAGCGAGACTTGGACTCCTGCCCCAACACGTGTCCCTGCTGGGGCCCCCTGGGACCATGGCAGGTCATTATATATTCAGCAGTGCTGGTTAATGTAGAGTTCAGCAGTAATTCAGAGATTTATCTTGTCCACGCGTCCCCTTTGTTCACACAGCCCGTACATTTGCTGCCTTGACCTTCGGTCTCCTAGAGGACTGAGGAGCTCTGGGATCCTTTTTTGCCCTCTCCCTTTTGTGGCTCACCACCCCCACCCTGCCTCCACCAAATGTGCACATCCATGTCCTATTTCCCACCCAGGACTTGGCCTTGTGAGTGGCTCCTTTGAGAGCCTTCTTTTGCTTAACTCCCACTCTGGTGGATCTGCGAGAAGAGCCTTGAAGAAGGGCTGCTTTGTTGCTGCCTTTTACAAATGAAGGTGAGCCTTGGAGCCTGTCACTGCAGAGGGTGACCTGGTCTTTAGAGAGAATGGGTCCTTTGGAGCCTTCCTCAGTGAAGCTAGTGGTTTTGGGAGGAGGAACAGCTGCGGTTGTGAAACCAGCTGTGGTGTGCTGAGGACAACGGGTTAGCACCAAAGAAGAACTCCTCTTCCTGTTTTTGTGGGGCAGCATTTGCCAAGTGTTCCTGGGAACCGAGGAGTACAGCACAGGCTGGCCCCCGTCACTTTATAAACGTTCTCTGCTAGCCCAGATGGAAAGGCTGCAGTGAAATGAAATACCCTTTTGTCAACAGCGTATCTGGGCAGAAGGTAAAATTCCATCCTTCCAACATCACACTGGCCAATGTGCCCCTTCTGTGAAAGCCCAGGTTCAAATTGGATTTCACTTCCCATCAAAATATTTCTAAGGCAGAAAGCACAAAAATCTAAGGGGCTCTGGACAAAGGTGCTCTATTCTATCCGGGGGCTAACGCAAGGGTCTTTCACCGCATTCCTAATTAATACAGAATCTGAAGGCAAGTAGCTTTTTTTTATATCTATAAAAAGCAATTAAACCCTTAGCTAGCTTCACTGAAGCTAAAACATATTTTGCTTAGTTCACTATGGGTAAGACTGCAACCTCAGAGGTTAGGTTGAAAGACTTTGGTCAACCTGGCAGATACTGGTCTCGTTAACACTAAGCGTCTGAATATACAGAAACGTCTGGGTGCTGATGTGGTACTATTGAACACTTTGTTTGGTCACTCGTCTGTTACGGTGGTGGCTGGGTTGAGACAACAACGAAAATCAGATTCTGTGGTTGGAGTCCTGGTGTGGCGCTGTAGGGTCAGCATCGGACTGCTAATCACAAGGTCGGTGATTCAAACCCACCAGCCGCTCCTTGGAAATCCTATACGGGGTCACTGTGAGTCAGAACCAACTCAATGGCACTTAACAACAACAGTAGCAGTTGAGTTTTTAATGATTAGATCCAAGAAATTTGCCTAGGTTTGCCTCTGAGGCACCTCACCAGAAGAACTTCCATTAGCTAACCCCCATCATTTGAAAATAAACTTCCTGGTTCCTCAAAGCAGTTGCTGTCTGGAAGACTGCCAGCTAGCAGTCGGACTGTGCTCTGAAGAGTTTCCAGGGGCTGATTTTTCCAGAAGTACATCTCCAGGTCTTTCTTCTGAGGTATCCCGGTTAGGCTCAAACCTCCAGCGTTTCGGAGAGCAGCCCACTGTGCCAACTGACTTCCCAGGTTCCTTACTGTACAACGAACCCGGCCCTTCTAACGAATGTTTAGAAAGGGTTTGGAACTGGATCTTATTGGCTTTCTCATCATTTTGATATTGGATCAATTTTAATAGCAATAAGATGGCCAACAATAAGCCCTCTCCAGAGGGACTGCCCTGCCTCTGGTTTGCATCTGACAGGCCCATTGCATAAGTAGCAGGGACCATGTGTGTCCACTGCCCCCAAAGTGAAGCCTTCTGTGCGCTTTCCACTCTTTGCCGTGTGCTCAAGCGTGTGCCGATTGTCACATTGTCTGTAGGCTCGTACAGCCCGCAGCTTACGTGTGTGCTTTTTTTCTATGAAAAATGATGTATTTTACTACTTCCTACGTACAAACGTTATTGTAAATGTTTATTTGTGTGTGTGCTTGGTGTGAACAGGGGCCATGTTGTTGCTGTTGTTTAAATAAAAATGGTTTGATTTCTAAAATGTCTCTGGAACGTATCTTTTATGAACAAGTCTGAACAGCCTGTGAAAAGCTTGTGACACCTCGTCATGGGCTCTCTGAGACTTTGTTTATGCCACTTCTACCTGGAAAGTCATGTCTGTCATTTCCTGGAACCTTCCAGAAACAAGTGGTAACATTGTTGTCTGCTGGCCTCTTCACCTCTTGACCCTACAGATGGAATACTGCCAATACTGTAATGCAGAGAACTGGACCGTTATGATCTATAGGATTTACTTTGATTTTTTTTTTTTAGGATTGCCAGGTCTTTCTTCCTGGGTCTATCTTAGTTTGTACGCTCTACTGAAACCTGCTCAGCATCATAGCATCAGGTGGTTGTGTGTGCAGTTCACTGGCTGGTCTCTCACATAAAAACAAACCCACTTGTCCTTAAGTCCAATCGACTATTCTCATAGCAATCTTACAGGGCAGAGCAGAACTACCCCATAGGGTTTCTAACGCTAGAAACGCTTGAAGCCTTTCATCAGACTGCCTCAGTTTTCTCCTGCGGAGCGCCCGGTGGATTTTCTGCACAAATCCCCCAATGTTCTCTTGTCGTCTGTGAAAAGTAGGTAATGATAGTGTCCACTCCGTCGGCTGATTAGAAGGGTTCAGTGAGATGGAACATGAGAAATAGTGCATGGTACGCACTCAACAGCTGCCACACATGCTTCTTATCCCTGGAGTCCTATCACTGCTTGGTATTTTGTAGAATTCATCCCAGTGGGTGCAATAAAGAGCTTCCTAGCAGACAGAACTGCCCAAAGATGGAATGGCCTATATAAAGAGGGAGTGAGCTCCCCATCACTAGGAGAATACAAGTATTTAGATAGTGACAGAATAGACATATTCTCAGGTTGGCTTCCTTTGGGCTAGATTGACTTTGAATCCGCCTTCCCTCATTATACATAATCCTGGTGCAACACTGTAGAATAAACACTAGACTCTGAACCATAAGGTCAGTGGTTCAAACCCATCAGCTGCTCTTCAGAAATCCTGTACAGGGTCGCTATGAGTTGGAATCAACTTGACAGCATTTAGCAACAATAACAACCCCTCATTATGACTCTCAGACCCTCTTTCCCCTTTCCTCCCCCACCCAGAGTAGGGACCTAGTGAGGGGTGACCTGAAGCTACCCATGGATCATGAAACCATGGCACTTCACTCTAGAAATGAACAAATAACTCTGCAGCCATGTCGACGGTCCTAAAGCTCTTAAGTTTTCTTGTTTATCTACCTTCCTTCAAATTTTTCATGCCAAACCAAAACCTGTCCTAGACTGCTACTAGGGTTGAAAAAAATATCTTAGACCCTTAAAAAACAGTAATAAATGTGGAGCAGAAGGCACCGGTTTTGAGAGTGTCATGGAATTTCTTTTACCCTTTCATCTTGGCTAGCTGAACTCGTGCCAGGATTCATCCAAGACCCAGGGAGACAGGTCCTCAACCAGCTTGCTCTGGCAGCTGCTGGTCTGGCTCCAAGGTGGAGGAAGACCTCCTTGTGTGCCCCTGGCTGCCGCCATGCTGGAGGGAAGCGGGTTAGCTGGTCTGGAAGTTGTGGCTAGAGCCAATGCCACCTCTGCCTGATACAGTAACGTAGCAAAGGAATCTACTGTGCCAAGTGCCACCATGTACCAGGAACTGTCTAGGAGCTGAGCATATGCTATCTCATTTGATGGGCACAAACTTCTCTCTATTGCTTACAGGTCCTCAGATTCTAATTCAATGAATATTTAGCAAAGTATCCGTTAGGAATGCATTTGGCCGCATATAACAGAAAGCCAACCACAGTGGCATACTTTTCTTGCACAAGAAATTCGAGGGGTACAGTGCCAGGGGGAGTCTTCAGTGGCCTGCCTCCTTATCACCTCTTGCTCTGCTACCTTCAGCAAGCAGCATCTGTGGTATTTGCCTAGTGGTTTCAGGATGCCTGCTTCTCTTCCATTCTGGGAAGAAGGAAGGGTAATGGTAATTGGCAGATATGGTTGTTAAACTAATGTAAAGGGGATCCTGGTGTGGCACTGTAGGATAAACACTGGACTGCTAATCATAAGGTTGGTGGTTCAAACCCACCAGCCTCCTTGGAAACGCTATGAGTCGGAAGTGACTTGAAATTACATAATGGACAATTTTCTGTCAACAGCCCAATTAAAAAAAAAAAAAGTGGGCAAAGGACTTGAACATATTTCAACAAAGAAGACATCAAATGTTTAACAAGCCTGTGAAAAAGATGCTTAGCATCATTAGACACTATGGAAATGCAAATCGAAACCACAACAAAATCCCAATGCAGCCTCATTAGAAGGCCAAGGATTTAAACAAAACGGAAAACAACAGGTGTTGATGAGTATGTGGA